CCATCTCCCCCTCCTACTACTCCCTTTTTTTTCGGAATCTCACGAAAAGCGAAGAAATGCGAGAACTGTCACATTCAACCGTGATTGCTTCCTTGCCTTCCAATTTGGTCACATCTTTCAATTCATAGCTGTGCATTGAACAGCTTCTCCAGTTACTTTGAGCAGTGCTGCATCTCGTGGCGCTTTGCGTGCTGGCCGTCCCAGTGTTCGTCTTGTCTCCTGAAGGGATTACCAACTCAATGTTCTCTCGACAAATGCACGGAGAGATTTTAGCCATTTTTCGAGATATCCGTACTGTTTTGCTTGAACGTTTGCACCCCTCGATCGCTTAGAACGCAGGTAGGCAACCGGGGACTCGCGGAGGTTATCGGAATGTGGTGCCGAACTAAACGAATGGGAGTTTGTACCCCATCACGCTATTGCATTCTCATGAAAATTGACATAAACAGCGGTACGCACCAAGCTAGCCCTTTCTCCCCGCATGCAAGAAAAGACCAAAACACAGGCACATGAGTTGCACGTGTTAAATTGCTGTAAAGCAACAACCATTCATACTGTTAACGATCTAACTGCATCAAGGCCCGTACGTGGTATTACGCGGCCCGTACCTGGCACCACGCGGGCAGGAGCGCCCATTTTGGAGATGGGGGGCCCGTATATTGCATGTAGATTAAGATCCCAAAGCTCCTCAGCCCTGTAGCTTCTGTAGGTCTCGAGATGAAAAATCGGTACAGACGAGTTTAGCGCAAAAACGCCCAGCCGCACGAGCAAAGCTGATGCGTTGCTACTTGGGTTTTATTAAAAGGTGACCCGCGAGCTTAAGTATGTAAATCAGGCCCGCGTGCCGCCAAAGGTTACCTATGCCTGGTGTACAGGAATGCCTTAGCATCACACGGTGTGCATTATTTTAATTTTATTTGGTATGTATTTATGTAAGATGTAAGGAAATAAAAAAGGGGAATGTGAATAAGTTAAAGGTTAAGATCTGAATGGGAATTTTTCGGTCCATCAAGTCGCATACATTCCTAATTCAGTGCTGCAACTGGACAACTCGTCAGTGTGACGGAAGTAGCATGTAGTGTACATTAGTCAGTAAAATGTGCCATTTTTGTTTGTATTTGAATATATTTTGTTTATTGGTAAGCTTTGTGAGGATTTCTTTGTTATGGCGCTGTATGATGCAATATTTTTTTCAGGCACCAATGTCATTGGCTCACTCGGGTTCACAGGCAACAGCAACTGCCTTGCATGAACGGCAGTCATCGGCTGTTGCTGCTGCTGGTGCTGCTGGTGGTGGTGTTGCTGCCACTCCAGCGACAGCTCCCGGGCAAAAGTCGATCACTCCACGGTGGATTTTTAATTCGGAAGAGTTGAGAAATGTTGCTAGCGTGCGAGAGGGTATGCCACCTGAAGAAGTAAGTCCCACGGTATGAATCGTTTTCCTTTTTTTTTTTTTGGAATGCTTCTGACAGTTTGAAGTGTTTTTTTTTTTTTTTTTTTTGGAATTTTGCTTCTTGGAACGCTTCCTTTTGTTTTAATGATATAAGAAATGGCCAATTTTATGCACTGTGACACCTCTGCACTTGCTGTTTGGCTTATGTAAAAAGCCTAGTAAAATTAACTTTTAATATATCTGCATGGGAAGAAAGGAAAAGGTAGAGAGCCATCGTGAAAAAGTGTGAGGGTATAGCTACTAAAAGACTGCAGTGTTGAGGTAAAGTGTACCCATGCTGTATTAAGGAGAAACGAGGGAAGAATAGGAGTACCACTAGCAGACTAGGTACCATACGAAGCAAATAGAAAAGGTGGAAGGGGCCATGGAGGCCCGACGAAGAATTGATCATTCCAAACAGGATTGTGGTAGAAGATTGGTAATAAAAACCTCAGTACCATGCGTGCCAGTATAAAATGTATGGGCCAGAAACTTCTTAAAAAGTTGTAAAAATCTAGAGGTGTTAAAGTAAGGGAAAAATGGAAGGTCCAGGTGAGGCGGCCGAACTTCGATCGGATTAGCCAGTGAAATTTTGGGCAGCTGCAGGGGTGTACGTTGTTGCGAAACGTCAGTTGATCAAAGCACATTTCTGAGCAAAAAGTGAAGCCAGCCTGAGTTTATGCAGTCATTTTTCAACTGCTGGCAACATTTTTAACGATCTAGTAGTTAGTAATACATTGTAACAACAAGTGGAAGAATGCGTCAGTTTGCTTTATTTCTCTGTGCCGGAATATTTATGCGTATTTGCTTATTTACTTTTGAACATTTTGCTTTTTTTTCAGAAAGTTTTTTTTTTACAAAATCTAATTATCTCATACATGTAGGAACTGAATAGACGACGCGTAGCGGCAAGTACAATCCATCAGATGGCCGATCGGCTGAACCATGAATCACGCGTCAGAATGTGAGTACTTTTATGGTTTTTTTTTACGTAACGTGCATTTTAAGTTACTGTATTTCGAAATTACTATGCATATCTCTAAGTGAAATTTATGTTGCCTGTTTGCAGTTTTGCAGCGGACACACTAGCATTCTGCGTAATCTTCATTTTGCTTGTGCAGAAACATAAAATACCACAATTACCAGGGCATCATTTTGGGTATTCCAAATTAATGATGTTACTGGGATGTTCCCAAACGCCGAGCGCAGCTTTGCCAAGCATTTCGATCCCGGGCTGCATACCTCTAGTTTGTATTCACTGCCTGTTTGATATATGTATTTATGTGATTGAGCAGCACCATCTCTTTCCGGACGTTAAAACTCCTAGATTACGATAGTGTTAACTGCTGAGGCCCCCTGTTGAAGTGTAAATCAGCAACAGCATCAGCAGCAAAAAGGACTTATAAGAAATCATAGTATTTTTCAGTTGCATATTTTATAGTGCAAAAACAGTGAAATTTCCTTTTTTTTCAGATCGCAGCTGTGTATCTGTGCTGCAATGATGCATATGCATCGATTCTTCGTTTTTCATTCGTTCTTCAAGTTTGATCCGCGGGTAAGTCCCACCCCAGTTTCCCATAGATCCGTCAGAAATTTGTTATGCTTTAACCGAGCCAACTCAGCTTAGTTACTGTTGTAACTGTTTGAGGACATTGCGGCTGCATGCCTGTTCCTCGCCGGCAAGTCAGAAGAATGTCCGCGAAAGCTGGATCACGTTGTGCGTATTTGGTGGTCCGTCAAATTTCCACATTGGCCGAACATTGATCACACTGTTAGTTTGACCTGTTTTTTTTAAACAAAACTAATTTTTGCCAAATAATCCAGTTGGACACTCACTTTTTATTCGCTTTTTCGTTTTTTGCAGCAATGCAATGCGAAAAACGCATATTGACGAGAGGTTGTCTGTGTGTCCGTGTGTGCCTCTGTCACAGTTTTTCATCTCAAGACCTACAAAAGCTACAGAGCTGGAACTTTGGGAACTTAATCTACATGCACGTACGGGCCCCAATCCTCAAAATTGGCGCAATTACCCGCGTGGTACCTGCGTACGGGCCTGTCAAAATTTTTTTCGGGTAAGTTCGTAACTCGGGGATCTGAGAAGCTAGAACGCTGAAATTTTGGGAGGATGTCCCTGTCCAAGTGGGTATTGGTGAGCTCAAACCCAGCCCCCTGGTAAGCGTGGTACCCGCATACGGGACCGCCAAAGTTTTTTTCGGGCAAGCTGATAACTCGAGTACCTCAGAAGCTGAAGGACTGTAATTTTAAGAGGATATACCCCGTCCACCTAAGTTTCATTCAGCTGAAACCTAACTCTCAGGTATGCGTGTTAAACTCGCACGGGCCCATGGAAATTTTTTCCCAGTAAGTTGCTAACTCAGGAGCCAGGGAAGCTGGAAAGCTGAAATTTCAAAAGGGTGTTTTTTGACAGTTCTGGCGGCCAGTCTTAATTTCTGTAGCTATGAGCATTTGCCGAAAAAGCCGGTGCCGGTAGTAACAAAAACTGCGGGGAACTATGCAAAAAATGCACCTTTCGCATGGGCAGCCCTTGCGTTGGCCAGTTATTTTTTCTTGATTTATTTTTTGCGGGGCGAAAATCGGCTGTTTTGGCTGAGCGGACAATTTACCTCCGCGAATCCGGTTTTTATAGCTTATGCCCACAACAGAACGCAATTAAAATAATTAGGGGACCTGAAAACGAAAAATACACACTTTGTCTCCGTTCAGTTTGCATCTTTTTCAAGCGTCTCGAACATTAAAATCCTCTTATTCTCGATCTGATTATTGCCATTTAGCGAATGTCAAAACATTCGATAGCGATGATATCAGTTATTTTCAGCGTTTATACGAAGCGTCTCAGCTGATCGTAACACTGGAGAATCTCGTACTGCAAACAATTGGTTAGTTTTGCAGAATGCTACCAGCACATCACACCCGTAAACATCCGTTGAGATTTTGTTGTTATTGTTGTTGTGAAGTGAGAGTGCAAATTCTTGCCCTGTGCATGCATTCACACGTGAATCTGAGAATCGACACGGAATGTGTCGATTCTGAATAACAAATTCTGACGGATGTTTGCTGTGAGTGTGCATAGACTGGTATGATGATGGTTCTAATAAAGAACTGTTGGCAGCATTCGATCTATCGGTGGATATACCACATCCGTATGTGCTGATGCATATGCAGAAATTTGCAAGAGGTTCGTTTTTTCTTTATCTCTTTCTCTGATTTTACTAATTTACTATCACAGAAGTTTTTACATTTTTTCGTTGCAAATCGAAAACTTTTATGAGGCAGCCATACCTTGCTAAAATTGGATTTTCTGAACTATTTCAACAGGCAGAACTGCGGGAACTGAAAAACAGCACATTGGGTGCACAGTTTCCGATTTTGCCTGCAAATGTAATTCCAAAATCAGCTGTCATCAACTCTGGTTGGAATTAGCGGGTAGTATAGATTTAGTGCTTTGACTTTGCTAGATGGTTAAAAGCCATTACAATTCGGTAATGTTCGTTTTTGCACAGTTAAGAAACGTGGGCAACCTTGGCTATAAGTCCTGTTTGACTGCTTGTTTTGCTCTAGTCTGTGGAGATTTGAGGACTGTTGTTTACATAACTCTAATAGAAACTTTGTTGAGTGTGGGCATAACGGGCGAAGCACCAGTGATGAACAAAAATCGGGTATTTAAAGGCAATGAATAATAAAAAATAATAAAATTTTTCAATACCGAGCATTTTTTGAAACTGACGCGCTCCAAGAAGACAGAGAAAACTTTGCGCCTTGCCAATTTCCATTTCTCAAGGTCTGAAAATACCAAGAGTACGGAGACGGCCTGGGCATCTGCGGGTTCAAAACAAGCTTTTTGTATTGTAATTAAAAGTGGATTGTATATTTATTGGCTATCTTCCTTACCTGCGGGCGCAAAACGTGTGGCAGATAAAATTTAGAATCTCTTTTGCAAAGCTGCCTTTGTGTAAAGGAACCGGGACGGGATTCCCCCCGTCCCCGTCCCGGTTCCTTTACACAAAGGTAGCAAGAGGAGGCCTGATCATGCTAGACACTCGAAAACGAATTTCTGATCATAAAGCCTGATCATGTTCTCGAAATGTTTTCTTAAAAGGGAACTGGAAATGGTGGTATGATGAATCATGTTTCTGGCAGCACTTTATCCTAATATTGTTTGTTTCATCTTTTATTGTGAAAGCACAGTGAAGATACTTGTCCTTACGCCTTTTTAGAAGTTTCAGATGCTTCAGGAAATCGAAGGATCTCTGAAATAGCCTACTGGTTTGCAAGTGACATGTTAGTTTTTTTTTGTTGCTTTTCTAAAAAGTACTGTCTAAATGACAGTAACGAAACTCCTGTATCTGCAATCTGGGCCAGCGTATCTCACTGTATAGGAGGCGGAAAGAAACGGAAGAGTGGGGTAGGGGAGCCGTGCCGTTAGCTTGGACGATCTTGGTTACCTTTTGTTATCAACGAAGCCACTTTCATCAGCATACCCTCTGTGGACACTCCCGCCGCCCTTTCCTGCCCAAATTTTTATTGTTGTGTGCTGCGTAACAGCAGTAGAACGCATATTTTCACCGGGTTGTCTGTGTGTGTTTGTGTCCACAAGGGCAACTACTAAAGCTCGGCTCGGCGCGGCTCGGCTCGGACGGTGCGTTTTGCGCCCCAGTGAGGCGTCTGCCATCTCTGGCAACACTATTTCGTATCACCAGAAGGAAGAAACAGTTGGCAACGTGCCAGGAAAGTGGGGCAACGTTGCCCTGACAGGAAGTGAAGGAAGGTGAAGTGCTGGTGCGTGCTGGTGCATTTATGAGGAACATTGTGACGCGGGAGCTGAAAGTGCGGGTGGAGGCAGGAGATTAAGGGGGCGGAGTGTGCAAGAGCGGGGA